TACGATTTCTTTTTTAATTTCTTAAAAGAAATTAAGCCTTCAGGATCTCATAATCTATTGGTCATTAAAGTTATGATAAAAAGAACATAATTAACTAATATATATATAAGAAAATTTTATATTCATTTTTACAATAGAGTACTAATGATATGAAAAAATTAAATTATGAAAAATTAAATTAACTTATTATCTTAACTTTTATCCTCTTTCATTGCACTTTATTATTATTGGGCAAACAAAATAATCATATAAAACCTTACTTCGATTTCTGGGCCACCAACCCATCTAACAGCAGGTAATTCATTTTGAAGAAGAAGATGATTAGCTTCATCATCAAATCCCCATTGACAAATGGCAAGTGTTGCACCAGCATTTTTAACCCTTTTCACCATTTCAATAAATTTTTCTTGTTCGTATTCACGTAATGCTCTATAATCATCAACTGAAGTGACATCCAACTTATGCTTAGTTTTTGGTTTGGGAGGTTCAAATGGGCATGTTAAAATAGCTAATTTAACATTTTCCAACCTCTGAAATATAACAAACGATTATTTATTAAAAATTTTATTATCCAATAGAATATTTCATTAAAAAAAAAAAAAGAAAAAATGCCTTCAGCTCTCATAATCTTTTGATCATTGAAGCCACTGTGAAGATCAAATTATTCAATAGTTACTTGAACAGAGACTTTTACTTTTTTCAAAAGTTAACAAAATATAACTAAAGAAACAATTTAAAGTCCCAAAAACAAGTAAACTAAAAAATTTATTTGAATTTTCACCCTTCTCTGTTCTCTTTTTCATCATTAGGCAAAGTGAAATATCTTTTCAAATCAATAAATATTATTTTTTCAACTAATTATACCTTAGGCATTTGAGGATGGCTAAAATCTTTATCAATAACAACACCACGAACTAGAACTGTATCTTCCAATCTGCCTCCAACTTTCCCTTCTATTTTTATTAATTCAAAATTTACATCACGTGCAACAGGATCTAAAACTGCAAATACAGCATTTACAGCTATTTCTGCCATTTGTCTGTGACATTTATTGATGCTAAAACAAATAGAGAAGTAATTATTCTTCTTTTTCCATAAATTAAATTTAAATAATAATAAAATATTTTTTTTACATTTTAGAACCAAGACTGGTCATTGCAATTTTTATGTAAGGTTCCAGATTATCTGGGCTACCTTCAAAATCATGTACAATCATTTTTAAGTGATCTGTTGCACATTTTGCTGCCATTTCAAAACCATCTGCTATTCTGATTGGATGAATTCCTTTATCTAGTAGTTGCTCTGCTTGTTCTAAGAGAGCACCCGCTAAAACAACTACACCAGTAGTACCATCTCCAATCTCATCATCTTGGGATTGAGACAATTGAACCATTAATTTTGCAATTTCATGATCCACATCCATATTTTTTAAAATTGTTGCTCCATCATTTGTTACAGTAACATCACCATCAGAACTAACCATTAGTTTATCAAGGCCTTTAGGACCTAATGAAGTTTTCAAAATATTGGCTACATCACGAGCTGCTAAAATATGTGACTGCAAATATTCAACATTTATTAAAGATATTATTAATGTATTTTACAAAACATATGAAAATAATATTATTGAATAAATTTCTAGATTCTACTGAAATTATCTCATAGAAGCCATAATATCCATATATGGATAAAAATCACTACCAATGAAATTTATTCAATTTTTTAAATTATTGAAATATTAAATTTATGAAAAAAAATTATAATAATAATTATAAAATACAATTTTTAAATATGTGTAATCTATTATTAATTCAGATTTCATATTTTTACAATATTTCTAGCTATTTCAGAATAAACTGGCAAGCTTAAAATGTCGCCATTGCCGTTTCACGTGGTCAGTTTAATTAATCGTTAATAAAAGTTTTTAATTTTTTTAGTTCAATAGAATCATGAGAAAATATCAAGAAAAATTTTTTACTACTTTTATAATTAAAATGAAAAAAAAAGTTATTTAAATAATATAAGAATACCTTGATGGCATCAATACCGGTTAGGCGTTTTTGCTTTTCCTGGTTACGAAGAATAATAAAAGGCCGACCGTATTCATCAAAAGCCACAGTACCAGGTATTGCAGTCATTTTGTTCCAAGAAACTTGGACTTTACGTTTAAAGCAGTTATAACGAAAAGACTTATAAACTTACAAACTTACGTTTCTTTGTCGTCAAAACTACACGACCATTTTGTTGCCTATAACGGATGTTCATAAGCATGTAGTGCCATCTATTCTCGAATATTCTGGGTTAGGTATATTTGAGGATAAAACTTGAAAACAAAAATTACTATAATAATCTACAAATTTTTTTTTAAATTGTTTGAAAAACCTTTGGAATAAATAGTTAGAAAGATATAATCTTTTATTGTGAAAGATAAATAAATAGCAAAAGAAATATAACATTATTTAATTCTTCTTATTTATTCAAATTGTATAAAAATTTAATAAAGTTTTTTTTCAAATATTTGATTTAAATATTTCTAAAAGATTTAATAAATAAAAAAAATATATTTTATAAAAATGATGAAAAAAATGAACAAAAGTAGGTTTAAGTATTTTATATGCATCACAATTTATTTGACATTAAACTATTACAACTTTGTATTATAATTTTGAACATTACATATACATAGTTATAGACATATAATTATTTTGGAATTAATTCATTTAATGAGAGGTACTTTCTTTTACTCCAGGCCATATTGCCTGTAATCCCTCAATGTGTCGTACGTTCAAACAATATGAGTTTTGTTTAAATTTTTTATATTGGAAGGAACTTACTATTCTATATGTATATATATATTATTTTCATTCATTAATTTTCTTCTTCATTTTCAAATAATAATTACTGAATGATAAAAATAAATTAAATACATAGAAAGAAATTAATATGATAGTAGAATATGATAGTAGATTAAATTAGAGTTAAATTTCACGCAATAGATATTCAGTGACTTGATTTCTTGTAATTGTAAATTAATCATCTCGAATAAAATAATCGATTAATATGAGATTACGCACGACGCATCAGAGAATAATTATATTTCTATTATAATTATATGTTTACGGAAAATATATGAATATATAAATATGTATATGATGTTTAGGTATACATATTGATTAAAGATAAAAATATAATTTCAATAAGATATATCTCATAATATATAACATTCACATTTAAAACTTTCTTAATGGATTAGGCATTCATATAATATATTAGAATTCTCTTATATAATAAAAGATCAACGCTGGAAGTATAATATCGTGTAACGAGAAATATGTTTTCTTCATTTTGTGTGTTTGGACTCTCGACTAGCATTAATAGCATAGAAACGAGGAGTTGTCCAAATTTCGCAACAGGTACTTTACGCATCAAATAGTTCTTCGCGACAGTGTTTAAAATAACACTGCGGTTTCTTGTAAATTACAATTATAACATTTGCTTCATTTATATTCTTTATCTTCATAACTATGTTCGTAAGTAATACTTTCATCATATGTATCTTTTAAAATCTTGATTCTCATCAACATTTAACGTAACATTTAACGATTTTCATCTATATATCCATTTTTTAATTATATTATATTTAATAGGATATTTAATAACATTTAATGCGAAGCGATTAACTCCACATTTTTAACGTATTCAATAGAGCGATTCCCACAAACAATATTTAGAGATTTCCACAATAAATGTTTAATCGAGTAATTCACATTTGAATAAGTTTTTCTACTAAAAATCTACGTACATACGTATCTCTAATAATTTAGAATCTAGACTAGCAAAGCAAAACTTTATTGCTGTATCTTTTAATTTCTTTCTCGATTCGCGTTAATCAAAATGTTTTGCTTTTGGTTACAGTATTACTTATTGTTAATAATATAATTACATTTGTTAGACACCGACGAAGATTTTGAAAACTCTTCAGATTAAATGTTCGATACAATCGAGCGAACTCTCATACGCGATTCACGTGCAGACATTAACATTTATGTAATAGTGTAACATCACTTCAATGTTTCAACTTTTCCTCGTGAAAAATATATAATTCTATCACTGGTATCAGGATATTTGATCTCTTTCTGAGAATTAGAAAAAATTAAAATATATTATTTTCTGTGCGTTTGAATAATTCGAGTAGATATCTTAAGAGTAAATTTAGGGAACTTTATTCAGGAATTTTTTAAGATCGTAGATT